CAGCGATGCCATTTTGAGGGAGGTTGCACATAGCAATCCGAGGAGAGCATCAGACACATGACGCGAGCTTCCTGAAAGGCAACGGGGCTGAACCGTGCCTGGACATGCCCTGGCTTCAAGCCTCTGCTACGTAAAGCCCAGTAAAGTGCTTATATCGCCTTCACCACTGACATTTCCACAACCTTATGTATTTTTTTTTCACCAGTCCCTTTTTCAGAGGAGAGAAAAGAGAGAAGAGTCGAAGGGCATGCCATTAAGTGCTACCACAACACAACCGTGGCCACACGTCCCAATACATCATCTGGAGCAACCTCCTTAAGCAATTTCCCCAGATCCTAGAAGAATTACCAGGGGACCTGGTGCACCAGAAGAGATCCTTTTGTGCTCCGAATGCGACCCCCAAAAAAGTGAGCAGTAGGCACTGATTTACACCTCTGGTACTGTTTGAGGAAAATTCCTCTGTAACGGGGAGATTTCTGGATAGACACCTACGTGGAGCCTTTGCTGGGAGAAAGGATTCTCTCCTCCTCACAGACTGACAGGGTTTGACCTGTGGAAGAAATCAAGGAATAGGTTTATGCCTGCTACTCGCCTGGATGATCGCCAACCAGAGGTATTTTTATATACGTAAACTGAGCAATTACATCACCTCCAATTGCCATAGTGTTGGGTTTTTTTAAAAGTACAATGTAATGAAACACATCTCACAGCTGCACAAAAGCTAAAATATTTTAAAATATGCAATTATGTGCATAAATATTCTAATAGCAAACAAAAAAATAGCTGGTTTTGTCATGGCCACAGCACCTCTACACAAGTGTGGTCAGCTCACATGGAAACAGCTTTCAGAAGCAGCTGACAGCCTGTGCTGCGTTACTTGGTTTGGCTGCTGCCTCCAGCCAGGCGTGGTACGGTGATCTGCAAAAGCAACTATCTAGTTTGGTGGTTTTGCCCCAGAAGAAACCATTTTGAATACTTTTTGGCCAATTTCTTCACACTGAAATACCTTTAATGGATCTGCTGTTTCAGAACCCATGAGCACAGCAGAGCAGCTTCTCCAACACTGTCTCAACAACCCGACCCAATGTCACGCAACAGCTCCAGCCCTGCAGAACTGTGAAGTCAACCATCCCCTTCAACTTTCTCTTGGTTCAATTACACTAATGACATCAGTTTTAAGAACTGTGAAGTCAACCATCCCCTTCAACTTCCTTCTCTTGGTTCAATTACACCAATGATATCAGTTTTAGCAGAGGGTTGTCCCCTAAGTGAAGATGGTTTGTGGTGTGTGGGAAATGCTGCAACCTGTACTTCCCCAATCATAATAACAATCACCGTTGTCTGCTTAAGCATAGCACTTGTGAATTAGTCTAAGGAAAAAGCAAAGTTAAGTTGTAATTTAGCTTTTCAGTTGTGAGGCTGCTTTAGTGGGTGGCATTTGTTAATGGTAAAAGTCACCAGAGGTCTGCACTGCTGGTCAGGTTTAGGTGGGAGCCGTCCCAGGCAGAGCAGCAGCCAAAGCTTTTTGGGAAGGGTTCCTTTGAGGAGTCACAACTGTAGAGCTACACCACGGGAGACCCTGCTGATGATAAACTGCAAACCTCTCACTCTCCCTCTGCTGTGGCAGCTGAGCTGTCCTTGGGGGAAGGCTGGCTGACAGGTATCAGTCAAAAAGCAGTTTCTTCAGTTCAGCGCTCTTTCAGATCCAGATCTAAAGTAACCGTTTAAAAGTCACCAGAGGTCTGCACTGCTGGTCGGGCTTAGGTGGGAGCAGCAGCCGAAGCTTTTTGGCAAGGGTTCCTTTGAGGAGTCACATCTGTGGAGCTACACCACGGGAGACCCTGCTGATGATAAACTGCAAACCTCTCACTCTCCCTCTGCTGTGGCAGCTGAGCTGTCCTTGGGGGAAGGCTGGCTGACAGGTATCAGTCAAAAAGCAGTTTCTTTAGTTCAGCGCTCTTTCAGATCCAGATCTAAAGTAACCGTTGACAATCTTTAAGGGAGAAGGCATTTTAGCCAATGAGTTTAGTCAATTTATAGTGGAATTTGTGTTCAAGTTCCCATAGTTGAGAATATTTCTCATTTTACTTACCTATAAAGTGTTCACAAGGCTTTTAAAACACTTTGCACAGCCTGAGGAGAACACTCAGGGCGTCCTGGCCTCAGAAAGTTCTTATTTTCCCCATCCAGGGATCTCTAAGATATTTATATCCCCAGTGGGTTGCCCGGGCTCTAAGAAGGTCAAACAGGCCCAAGGCTGAGGCTCTAATTATCTGTTTAGCCACATTAATGCTGAGAGGCAAATCACTCTCCATTGGAAGTCAGTAAGCTTGTAAAAGTAATTTAAACAAAGCAACAAATAAAAACCACCTTCTTGCAATATGGCCTGTCGTCGCCTTGATGCATTTTACCACAAACCTCTGAGGACTGCTGAGCTCAAAGGTGAAATGGCACAAAATAAAATTAAATCTGCAAACTGCAAACCTGTAACATAGAAGTAATTAATTCTCACACTGAAAATGCGTGCCTTTCTATCTGAAAATAAATACTAAAGGGACTGTTTTTTCCCCTTGTAGACAGAGAAGAGCAGGAGCACATGGTCACTGTAGCGTCAGGCCAGGAGAAAATGCACCTCGGTGCTCAAATTGAGAGGCAAAACATCACAGAAGTTATGGCAGGCATGTGGGAACCCCAGCCCTGGCAGGGTTCTTGAAAGAGAAAGTCTTTGGTAGAGGTAGACCAGAAACCCTTTGAGCGTTGGTTCAGTGCTGAAGGTCCATGAACACTCATGCAGGAACAGGAGTATGTGCAAGTCCCAGCGCTCACACTTTTGCCAGGGCTCTGAGAAGCAGCTCCGACAGACACAAGGACACATGGATCACAAGTTCCCCTCGGGTTGGAAGGCAGGCATCCCAAACTCCTCTGAATCTTTTGTCTGGTGGTTCCCATAGAACAAAAAAGGCAAAGATGAGCATTTTATGAGATGCTTGTGTGACCTCACAGAGTGCTCGGGCAACCTCTTTAGTCAATGCCAAATTAAGAATATGGGAGGGGAAAAGAAAACCCTCAAATGCAGAAGAAATCACAACAAAGCCCCAGCCCTAGCATTTCAAAAACTGAATTTTGGCTTGTTTGCATACATTCCCACAGTTAAAAAGTACATTTACCTTTTCTTAGCAATCTGACGGGCTCCTTAAATACTTTCTTGTGCGCTTTGTGAATTTAGTACGGTTCTCTGTTTAAACATGTCATATTGTTCCCCACAGTAATTAAATGCTTGCCTAAGAAAGTCCAAAAATTAATCTGTGACAAAACACCCCAGGCAGAAGAACTGCCCCAGACACTAGAAGCTTAAGTAAATATAGACCACACAGCCTGCAAGAAATGAGGGCAACATCTAGTAAGGTATTTTGCAACGTAACTCTGTACATGGTTGCAGGCAATTACTTACTAAGTACCTGTAACAAGCAGGGAAGTAAACATGTTCAACATTAATTTCACTAGCCTCTCTTGGCCTAGATCAACATTGCTTACGTGACTGCTTTATGACTGTGGAACTCTACTACCTTTGAGCAACAATGAACAAAATGTTCTGCATGTCCCTTCTGTGTGAGGTTGCTTTCAGACCATCTCAGAAGGTAACAGGTTCAGTTCCCCCCAAACGGTGACAGAGACCTGTATTTGTGGCAGTAGGCTTCAGCTCTCCAAGGACGTGGGTGCTCACTTGTTTCAGAACATGGTGAAGTGGAGCCTTCATCCAAATTTGTGTTTATGAATGTTCCCCAGCAGTCTCCTCATCCTGCAGGACAAAGGAATACTGCTTTTTGAGATTGACTTGGCTCCTTCAAATGGTGCAATCAAGTGGACGTTTGTATCCTACAATTAGAACATTCTAAAAACTAGCTAATATTTCAGGTGTGTTCCTGATAACAAGGTTTATCTATTGAGTCTAATAGTTGACTTGCCAAAACCAGTCCAGGGTAGCCAATCTCTACCATTTCTTGGCTGAGACACTGGAGATGTGAGGCAGGTTCCTCAGGCAGAGTTTCCAGGATCCCTGGTATTGTTGTGTCTGCTGGGAGAGATAAGAGCAATGTAGCCAATGATAGCCAGCCTGCTCTGAAAGGCCCACTCTGGAGCCATCTATTAGATCTTCCACATCTGTACCACTTCCTTCCTGCTCCACCTCCTCCTTAGCACTGTAATGTCTCTGTACAACATGTCTGTGAGCTGTCCCCCAAAAAGAAAACATGATTTGTAGACGTAAAGAAGATTAATGCTTTTTCTTTTTTTACATTTTTTTTTCTCCTCAGCAGGAAGAGTGAAAGTCCAAGTCTATATCAGTAAGTACAGACTCTGGATGATTAAAATAGCCTCTAGCTTTAGGCTAATAAAGAAACACAAGTCAATTTCCCAAAAGGAAAAGGTTGATTTATTGGGTCCTGTAGGAAACCCGCAATGCTCCTCCCAGGATGATACAGCCCAATAATGCAGTTCCAGGCAGCCCAGCCTGCACAGGGGTATTATGACCTCACCAAAGTTTCAGAAAGCAGCGTGGGATAAAAAAAATAATAAAAAAGAACTTTGCACTTCCCAACTTAGAGGATAAATGCAAGTATGGACATGAACAAGTGGGAGAATGATGCAATTAAACAGCACAGACCTTGTAATCCCTTCAACACGAGTACATCTGTCAACAGGCTTTTTCATGTCAGCCATAAAACACATACATATACTTCTATTCTATAGTGCTGCAAGATTTAATATATGAAATGTTGGCATTTTTTTAGGATCTAAGGGTGGAATTTTATCCATGAGATAGGAAGTATTCATCAGTTCAATCTTTGCAATACATATTTATCTTATGTGATGTGGCTTTATCCCTGTTAAACTTACGTGCTACTGTCAACCCTCAATGATTTAACTGATTTTCATGGAATTTCTCTCTTTTTACAGTAAAATTCTAGAGCAGAAACATGTCTTTTTATTTGTTTATGTAGAGCCATCATGCTGGAGACCCTGCTAGTCCTCTTCCTTAACACAGTTTAAAGAAAGAGGTCGTCAAGGATGGAGACGACTGAGAAATCCAAGTGCAGCCTTTATCTTCTTTCCCAAACACGCAAGAACCCATCTGTTACTGAAGAGAAAAGGGAAAGCCTTTGCAGTTGTTCTGGACAGACTAATTGTACAGTGGCCAAAAAGAGACTATTGAAGCCTCTCGTTAAAGAAAAAGGAAGTTGTTGAATCTCTGGTAAGGCCCACACAGCTGACAACATGGATCCAAGGGAAACGTCTGCTTAGTTGAAGAACGGCTGGAGAACCTCTCATCCAAGGGAGAACCTGAAGCTTAAGTGTGTTGTGCCCCCAGGTATGTGGCATGCCCCACCAGGAGATGGGAGGGAAAATAAAGGACACCAAAAGAAAGGATAAAAGGGAGGAGAACTAACCACAGCCAGGAATAAACTGTGGGAAAAGGAGTGATTTACCCAAGTACGACCCATAGCACAATCCAAAACACGGCATCAGCCCAGACAATTCCAAAAGCCAGAAAGTGTGTGAGAGCTACTTAACAAAGACTCAGTAAAAGGGTGGAGAGAAGCATCTTTATGCCATTCCCCCTTTATTTAGTGACATTGTTGCACATACAGATAAAAGCCAACACTTGCCATTTCTTAGAGTTGGAAGTTTAATCGAGTTCTTCAAACACACATTAAAAATACAAGTCTGTGCGTGGTTGAATCATGCGGTTTCCCAGCAGGTTCCTTGAATTAACAGATTTCAACAGAAATTGAAAAGGATTTTAAATTACTTTTTCAGTCAAAGGTCTCTCTACTATTGGAAATTCCAATCTGGAGGATTGTATTAGCAATTTAGCATAGATTGCCAAAGGGAACTGTTGAAGTCTCTTCTGCAAGCATTTGTCTGTTTATGGGTATTTCACTCCTGATATGTACAAATTCTGATTTCTTGAATAGGAACTCCTGGCCAGCAACGTACCTCGAAGCTCTACCTCATTTCTTATGCTCTTACGCTCCACTTGTAAATGATGGAATTTATCTCAAACCTTTCTGGCTACCCTAATTTGATAGAACCACAGAATAGTAATAGTTGAAGCATGAAGGGACCTCATCAGATTGTCTAGTTCAGGCCCCACCCAGTTCAAAGACAGGTCACCGTTGACAATCTTTAAGGGAGAAGGCATTTTAGCCAATGAGTTTAGTCAATTTATAGTGGAATTTGTGTTCAAGTTCCCATAGTTGAGAATATTTCTCATTTTACTTACCTATAAAGTGTTCACAAGGCTTTTAAAACACTTTGCACAGCCTGAGGAGAACACTCAGGGCGTCCTGGTCTCAGAAAGTTCTTATTTTCCCCATCCAGGGATCTCTAAGATATTTATATCCCCAGTGGGTTGCCCGGGCTCTAAGAAGGTCAAACAGGCCCAAGGCTGAGGCTCTAATTATCTGTTTAGCCACATTAATGCTGAGAGGCAAATCACTCTCCATTGGAAGTCAGTAAGCTTGTAAAAGTAATTTAAACAAAGCAACAAATAAAAACCACCTTCTTGCAATATGGCCTGTCGTCGCCTTGATGCATTTTACCACAAACCTCTGAGGACTGCTGAGCTCAAAGGTGAAATGGCACAAAATAAAATTAAATCTGCAAACTGCGAACCTGGAACGTAGAAGTAATTAATTCTCACACTGAAAATCCATGCCTTTCTATCTGAAAAAAAATACTAAAGGGACTGTTTTTTCCCCTTGTAGACAGAGAAGAGCAGGAGCACATGGTCACTGTAGCGTCAGGCCAGGAGAAAATGCACCTCGGTGCTCAAATTGAGAGGCAAAACATCACAGAAGTTATGGCAGGCATGTGGGAACCCCAGCCCTGGCAGGGTTCTTGAAAGAGAAAGTCTTTGGTAGAGGTAGACCAGAAACCCTTTGAGCGTTGGTTCAGTGCTGAAGGTCCATGAACACTCATGCAGGAACAGGAGTATGTGCAAGTCCCAGCACTCACACTTTTGCCAGGGCTCTGAGAAGCAGCTCCGACAGACACAAGGACACATGGATCACAAGTTCCCCTCGGGTTGGAAGGCAGGCATCCCAAACTCCTCTGAATCTTTTGTCTGGTGGTTCCCATAGAACAAAAAAGGCAAAGATGAGCATTTTATGAGATGCTTGTGTGACCTCACAGAGTGCTCGGGCAACCTCTTTAGTCAATGCCAAATTAAGAATATGGGAGGGGAAAAGAAAACCCTCAAATGCAGAAGAAATCACAACAAAGCCCCAGCCCTAGCATTTCAAAAACTGAATTTTGGCTTGTTTGCATACATTCCCACAGTTAAAAAGTACATTTACCTTTTCTTAGCAATCTGACGGGCTCCTTAAATACTTTCTTGTGCGCTTTGTGAATTTAGTACGGTTCTCTGTTTAAACATGTCATATTGTTCCCCACAGTAATTAAATGCTTGCCTAAGAAAGTCCAAAAATTAATCTGTGACAAAACACCCCGGGCAGAAGAACTGCCCCAGACACTAGAAGCTTAAGTAAATATAGACCACACAGCCTGCAAGAAATGAGGGCAACATCTAGTAAGGTATTTTGCAACGTAACTCTGTACATGGTTGCAGGCAATTACTTACTAAGTACCTGTAACAAGCAGGGAAGTAAACATGTTCAACATTAATTTCACTAGCCTCTCTTGGCCTAGATCAACATTGCTTACGTGACTGCTTTATGACTGTGGAACTCTACTACCTTTGAGCAACGAAGAACAAAATGTTCTGCATGTCCCTTCTGTGTGAGGTTGCTTTCAGACCATCTCAGAAGGTAACAGGTTCAGTTCCCCCCAAACGGTGACAGAGACCTGTATTTGTGGCAGTAGGCTTCAGCTCTCCAAGGACGTGGGTGCTCACTTGTTTCAGAACATGGTGAAGTGGAGCCTTCATCCAAATTTGTGTTTATGAATGTTCCCCAGCAGTCTCCTCATCCTGCAGGACAAAGGAATACTGCTTTTTGAGATTGACTTGGCTCCTTCAAATGGTGCAATCAAGTGGACGTTTGTATCCTACAATTAGAACATTCTAAAAACTAGCTAATATTTCAGGTGTGTTCCTGATAACAAGGTTTATCTATTGAGTCTAATAGTTGACTTGCCAAAACCAGTCCAGGGTAGCCAATCTCTACCATTTCTTGGCTGAGACACTGGAGATGTGAGGCAGGTTCCTCAGGCAGAGTTTCCAGGATCCCTGGTATTGTTGTGTCTGCTGGGAGAGATAAGAGCAATGTAGCCAATGATAGCCAGCCTGCTCTGAAAGGCCCACTCTGGAGCCATCTATTAGATCTTCCACATCTGTACCACTTCCTTCCTGCTCCACCTCCTCCTTAGCACTGTAATGTCTCTGTACAACATGTCTGTGAGCTGTCCCCCAAAAAGAAAACATGATTTGTAGACGTAAAGAAGATTAATGCTTTTTCTTTTTTTACATTTTTTTTTCTCCTCAGCAGGAAGAGTGAAAGTCCAAGTCTATATCAGTAAGTACAGACTCTGGATGATTAAAATAGCCTCTAGCTTTAGGCTAATAAAGAAACACAAGTCAATTTCCCAAAAGGAAAAGGTTGATTTATTGGGTCCTGTAGGAAACCCGCAATGCTCCTCCCAGGATGATACAGCCCAATAATGCAGTTCCAGGCAGCCCAGCCTGCACAGGGGTATTATGACCTCACCAAAGTTTCAGAAAGCAGCGTGGGATAAAAAAAATAATAAAAAAGAACTTTGCACTTCCCAACTTAGAGGATAAATGCAAGTATGGACATGAACAAGTGGGAGAATGATGCAATTAAACAGCACAGACCTTGTAATCCCTTCAACACGAGTACATCTGTCAACAGGCTTTTTCATGTCAGCCATAAAACACATACATATACTTCTATTCTATAGTGCTGCAAGATTTAATATATGAAATGTTGGCATTTTTTTAGGATCTAAGGGTGGAATTTTATCCATGAGATAGGAAGTATTCATCAGTTCAATCTTTGCAATACATATTTATCTTATGTGATGTGGCTTTATCCCTGTTAAACTTACGTGCTACTGTCAACCCTCAATGATTTAACTGATTTTCATGGAATTTCTCTCTTTTTACAGTAAAATTCTAGAGCAGAAACATGTCTTTTTATTTGTTTATGTAGAGCCATCATGCTGGAGACCCTGCTAGTCCTCTTCCTTAACACAGTTTAAAGAAAGAGGTCGTCAAGGATGGAGACGACTGAGAAATCCAAGTGCAGCCTTTATCTTCTTTCCCAAACACGCAAGAACCCATCTGTTACTGAAGAGAAAAGGGAAAGCCTTTGCAGTTGTTCTGGACAGACTAATTGTACAGTGGCCAAAAAGAGACTATTGAAGCCTCTCGTTAAAGAAAAAGGAAGTTGTTGAATCTCTGGTAAGGCCCACACAGCTGACAACATGGATCCAAGGGAAACGTCTGCTTAGTTGAAGAACGGCTGGAGAACCTCTCATCCAAGGGAGAACCTGAAGCTTAAGTGTGTTGTGCCCCCAGGTATGTGGCATGCCCCACCAGGAGATGGGAGGGAAAATAAAGGACACCAAAAGAAAGGACAAAAGGGAGGAGAACTAACCACAGCCAGGAATAAACTGTGGGAAAAGGAGTGATTTACCCAAGTACGACCCATAGCACAATCCAAAACATGGCATCAGCCCAGACAATTCCAAAAGCCAGAAAGTGTGTGTGAGCTACTTAACAAAGACTCAGTAAAAGGGTGGAGAGAAGCATCTTTATGCCATTCCCCCTTTATTTAGTGACATTGTTGCACATACAGATAAAAAACAACACTTGCCATTTCTTAGAGTTGGAAGTTTAATTGAGTTCTTCAAACACACATTAAAAATACAAGTCTGTGCATGGTTGAATCATGCGGTTTCCCAGCAGGTTCCTTGAATTAACAGATTTCAACAGAAATTGAAAAGGATTTTAAATTACTTTTTCAGTCAAAGGTCTCTCTACTATTGGAAATTCCAATCTGGAGGATTGTATTAGCAATTTAGCATAGATTGCCAAAGGGAACTGTTGAAGTCTCTCCTGCAAGCATTTGTCTGTTTATGGGTATTTCACTCCTGATATGTACAAATTCTGATTTCTTGAATAGGAACTCCTGGGCAGCAACGTACCTTGAAGCTCTACCTTGTTTCTTATGCTCTTATGCTCCACTTGTAAATGATGGAATTTATCTCAAACCTTTCTGGCTACCCTAATTTGATAGAATCACAGAATAGTAATAGTTGAAGCATGAAGGGACCTCATCAGATTGTCTAGTTCAGGCCCCACCCAGTTCAAAGACAGGTCAGCTACAGCAGGTTGCCCAGGACTGGATCCAATTGGGTTTCAGGGATGTCCAAGGCTGAAGACTCCGTGTTTCCTGTCTTTCAATTTGTGCCCGTTGCCACTTGTCCTTTCTGGGCAGTGGTGAAAAGATGCTGGTTCTGTTGTCTTTTACTGCTTCGCTTTTGGTATTTACACGTATTGATAAGATCTCCTGAGCCTTCTCTCCTCCAGTTAAACAATACCAGCTCTCTCAGTCTCTCCTTGTATGACACATGCTCCATTCTCTCAATTATCTTTGTGACCCTTCAATGAACTTATTCCAGTACCTGCATGTCTCTCCCGTTCTGGGGAGCCTGGAACTGGACACAGCACTTGAGCTACGGTCTCACCAGTGCTTCACTAGAGAGAAAGAATCCCTTGCTGGCAATGCCTGGGATGTTGTTGGCCACCTTTGATGTAAGATTGTTGGCTCATGGTCAACTTTTCACCCACCAGGAGCCCTGGGTCCTTTTCTGCAG